TATATATATATATATATATATATATATATATATATATATATATATATATATATATATGCCTACTGTATATGTGTGTGTGTTCATGTTTAGATTTTTATTTATGCTTAGCATATGTAGGCTATATGTTAATATTAATATAGACTAATTTAGAGTAGACGTCACTTGCAGCTGCGCGCGCATAGTGGTTGCAGAAAAACGTGGAGATAAATGGGTAACATCCATGGAATAAAAAAAATATATATTTTTGTGCCTTTTGATGTCAAGATCGGAATGCAAATCATTTTTAAAGAATACTGTCGTCAAAGACGCCATTTGAAGCTAAACGCAGACGTTTAAACGGACATACTATGGATGAAAACTGTTATGATTACTCTACTTTTAAAGCATAAATTCGATTTAAACAGTAGGTCTACATGATATTCACATATGCTGTTCATAGGGGACGTATTGTATTAGCCCTACAGTTACAGCATGACATATTATTTAAACCTTACTATTAGAAATATAATTTAAACCTTACTATTAACATTTTTACAGAACATTTATTCATTTTATCTCACAATTTTGACCTTTTTTTCGCAAATGCAAGTTTATATCTCCTAATTCGGACTTTATAACTTGACTTAACTCAAAAATAGTAAGTCAAATCTGAGGGGAAAAAGCCAGAAGAGCCGAGGGGAAAAGAGAGAATGACTATTTGTTTTTCCTTATTAGAATTGTGAGATATAATCTCGGAATTGCGAGAATAAAGTCAGAATTTTGAAATATAAAATCAAATTTATCTTTTTTGTTGTTCCATGGCTCCATAGACTGCCGCTTGAAAACCCTAATTTTCTGCCTCCAGATAGGCTCCGCCCACAACAAACGTCATCCCTGTTTCGGATCTGTAAGACTATCGCACGCTCTAACGTCAATTTCGTTGAAAAACAGTGTTTATCGCTGGGTGACAAGTTCTTGTAATATGCGGAGAATATTTTGAAAATGACATCTAATCAATATAATTTATAAAATTTTTAAACCTAACTATTTTGTACCATATCCGTGAAATTCTCTAGCCGTAACTCTCCCGGGTTTTCTGCAACCATGATGCGCGCGCATCCTGAATGTTTACAAACCTATAATTGGTCTATAGAACGAAAGTTTATGTTGTTATCAAACTGCGTACTGTGCGTATAGGGAGCGGCGGTACTGCTTTATAGGCAAATGTTCCTTGCGAAATATAGGCTACATTACATGCACAACTTTGCATGGAAACATAGCTACTGTGAAGAAGATTGCAATTGATGTGACCACAGGGTGACGGGTTTTATTTTGATTTTTCACCGCTTCTTTGTTATTTAGTGACTATAAAAATGCGTTTAGAAACATTTTGATTCTCCCCCTCCCTTGCCTCACAGTGCTTCAGTCCAAATGCCTGCTTTCTCTTTTACATCACCTATACACACACAAGTCGGTGAGAGAGAACAAAGTCAGTAGTTGTGGAACTCCATACGCCAAGGCTGCCAAGGCTATTTTATTCACTTAAACATCAGATGAAGTGATTATTTTCTCTTTAATACAGATGCCAATGTATTTTTCGATGAGTCCGCTATGGTAGCAACAGTGTTGGGCAAGTTACTCTGAAAATGTAATCAAATTACTGATTACTTCTTTTAAAAGTAATCACGTTACTGTTTTGATTACTTTATTTCAAAAGTAATTAGTAATTAGTTACATTACTAGTTACGTAACTTTTTTCTCCATTAAATTTATGAAATCCCAGCATACACGCTCCCGATAAATATTTGTTATTAAAGCATCAACATTCACATGCAACATTCATATGCAAGTTGATATTCTGATTATATTTTTTTCCAAGCACATTTGACCAATTCCAAACAACATCAATCTTAATAACCACTACGCTGTGACGGCGCGATCACAACAGATTGAAGTTGTCTAATTTGCACTAATAGTAGTAAGAATTTACTCTGTGTATACATATCATTCCTTACAAGTACAATTTTAGCTGTATTATTTGTGTCCCCTTCAAAAATTGCTCTTGATAAATTTTGTTTATTGTCCCCCCCCCCCCCCCCCCCCTATATTTAGTATATATCACCCTCACCACCAGGTCTCAACAGTGACAACTTACCCCTTAAAGGCTACCCAGTACTGCTACATATTGTCACAAAATGGGAAAACAATGGTAATGTTAAACACTTTTATGATTACCCCCCCCCCCCCCCAACTGTTAGATGAAATTTACGCCCCTGCCAAAAACACACGTTTTATTTAATGACAATGAAAACTGCCTAAACCAGGGCCGTCTTTAGCAGGGAGAAAGGTGGTGACGATTCTAGGGTCCCACAGCTACAACCTGCACCGGTGTCCCCTCATACATGTGTATGAATCGTTCTATTATTTATTGATTGATTTATTCATTTAATTGGTTAAAGTTAAAGGAAAATATCTCTTGTTTTTCTGTGGGTGCCAGTATCTGGCCATTTTTTTAGGTGAGCCAGTGAGTTGTTGACTCAAGAACTGCTTGGGTCAATTTTAAACAAATAATTTTAACTGAGTGTGAACCAATTCAATGATCTAATTCTAAAGATCAGACATTAATTTTGCTGGCATCAATTTGTGTTTGTGTGTGTTTGTCAGATGGCACTATCAGGATGGATCTGTGTGGTGACTGGTGCATCCAGAGGAATTGGAAGAGGGATTGCCCTTCAGTTATCTGAGGCTGGCGCTACAGTGTACATCACTGGTCGACAGGAGAAAACTCTGAAGCAGACAGCAGCTGAGGTGTGGAAACTGGCTCCTGATTGTACCGTTAATAACCCTCAACTTGTAGGAGGTGATGTTGGTTTCATGCTTCTTTTATTTTCATGATGACAGGTGACCGAGAGAGGTGGCCGGTGTCTCCCACTGGTCTGTGACTCATCTAAAGAGGATGAAATCAAGGAACTGTTTGAACGTGTCCAGCATGGGCAAAACGGCAGACTTGACTTGTTGGTGAATAATGCCTATGCAGGTGTACAGCTAAATATCTGTTTACAATCTTGTCTTTCTCAGTTCAAGGAAATGTTCAGTAAAGGTGAAACGACGGAGTTTAGTGGACGATGCATAGTTGAGCTGGCCAAAGGTTGGGTATTTTACAGACTGAATGAGTAGTTTAGTTCACCCAAAAATAAAAATTCTGTCATCATTTACTCAACCTCAATTTGTTCCAAACCTCTATGAATTTTGTCTTCTGTTGAACACAAAAGAAAATATTTTGAAGAATGCTGGTATCAAACAGTTGCTGGTAACCATTGGCTTCCATATTATGGAAAAAATACTATGGAATTCAATACCTACCAGCAACTGTTTGGTTGCCAACATTCTTCAAATATCTTGTTTTGTGTTTAACAGAAAAAGTAAGTAAATTATGACAAAATTTTCACTTTCATCTGTTTAAAGGTAAAATGGTCATGAATTATTATGAATTGTCTGGAGGCTCTTGCTGATGTGCTACTTTATGCTTCTTGGTGACAAACAGATAAATGTCTGATGTCAATGACTGGGCAAGTGTTGATGACCTGTGACCTCGCTCACCGCTATGGACTCAAGGATGTTGATGGTACGGTGACAAATGTTTATGTAGGAGTGATGGTGCTTCCTGTTATGATCAAAGATGCTTACAGTGGGTATAGAAAAATAACTCCGAAGCAGTTGCAGGAATTTATGACAAAGAGTGGTCATTGTGTGCATATGACAACAATATCACAAATTCTCCACAAATGTGGTTTGTATGGACAAAAAAGCCACTCCTCAAGAAAGGCCACATGCAGTCACGACTGAGCTTCGCCAAAACTCACCTTGAAGATTCTGAGGCAGATGAGACTAAAATTGAAATATTTGGCCTCAAGGGACTGGAGCACTTGTCAGGATAGAAGGAAAAGGTTTACCTTCCAATATGACAATAACCCAAAGCATAAATAATATAAATAATTACAGTTAATTATGATTAATTACAATTATTTATATCAGCTGCCAGTAGTAACTGTAGCAGAATTAAATTGCCATCAACCAATTTGTTCGTCCAACGAACATTCAGTGTAAGTTCATATCAACTCTTATAGCTTATACTAAACCTCTGTTTCGTTTAGTTAAATGTACGATACTTGCATTGCCTTGGCCTGGAACGAGCGTACGGATGCAGTCTCGGATGAAAGTCTTGATGGCTTGAAGGTTCGGTGGTGTAGGAGTCGCGATCACCTTCTTCCGGGTTTGAAGAGTGATGAACTCCAAAGATGTTCTGACTCGATGGTGATTGGGAGTTTCTTCCCAGTGGAAAGTGAAAAAGAGATAAGAGAGACATCAGCCGAGATCCTAGGATCTTTGGTGAATGTAAAGTCAAGGCCGAAGCCTGGCAGGAACTTAGGGGTTGCAGAAGCGTTTTAGCTCACATCCTCATCTTCTCTGAGTCTAACAGAATCGCAGACTGACTGACTATGTGTTGGAGCCCAC